TTCTCATCTCTCTTCATCGCGCAACATCCATGTGGCTTCAAGAACACCACAAGTTGTACGAGCTGTCGACCACGCCCGTCCAGCGCCGATCACAAATCGTGGCGCTCACCGCTGTCGCACCCCAAACCCTAGGGAATATACTGGGTTATAACCTTGAAAACCCTTGTCCAACCCTAACCCAGCAACAACTGTCAACTGGAAAAAATGCAAACCACCGAGTGTTAGTAGAGAGGCTTTGACTAAAAGTACAAGCCCGGCGCCTGGGTCGTCGCCCACTGCGCCGTGCGAAGCGCGCCAAGAGCAAACACTTCGCGGCGCGTCGCAACGTGCGTGATCTCGATGCGCTCGCCAGGCCCCGCAAAGTAGACCGTGTGCGTACCAATCTCGTCGCCAAGGCGAAGGCTTTCACAGCTCACGCTCTCAAAGACGCCGGTTGCTTGCACCGCCGCTGCGAGCGTCTTGCCCGTGCCGCTGGGCGCATCGAGCTTCTTCGTGTGGTGCATCTCGAGCACCTGCGTGTTCCACGAGCCGTCCTTGGGCAGTGCGTGCGCGGCCGACGCTGCGAGGTCCGCGACCAGCGGGACACCGATCGAAAAGTTGCTCTTGATGACGACCGGCGCGCGCTCGGCGTACTTGCGCAAGAGGTCCATCGGCAAGCTGCCAGTCGTGCCAATCACAAGCGCCGGCGACGACGACCCGGCGAGGAGCTTGGTCACGAGCGCGGCCGTGCCTGCTGGCAACGTCACGTCAATCACCACCTAGTAGTATCAATGTATCAGTTGTGGCGTTGCATCATCGAGCGTTGTACCTGCGCGGCGGCGGGAAGCGGCGCCGGTGTCCGGACGTCAATGGTTGACGAAGCGAACGACACCGTGTCCTTGGCGAGCTCGGCCGCAATCAAGTTGCCGAGACGCCCCTTGGCGCCGTGGAGGGCGATGGAGAGGGCTTTCGACGTGGTGGACGATGTCGTAGCCAGTGTCGCTGTCGACGCCTTGAGCGCTTGGTACTCGGTGATGGCGGCGGCGAGGCGGTCGGCCCCGAGCACCATCTCGTCGGCCGTGTACCACGAGAAACTCAAGCGCAAAAAGTTGGTCATCGATGCGCCAAACGACGAGCCGGGGAGGAAGAGCACCTTGTGCTTCTCGGCGATCGGGAGGAGCTCCGAGGCGAGGAGGCCCTTTGGGAGCTTGACCAGGATAAAGTACCCGCCGTCCGGGCGCTCAAACGTCGTGCCAGATGGCAGCTTGGCCGCGAGCGCCTTCATGAGCGTGTCGGCGCGCGACCAGAGCGTCGCGGTGGTCCACTCGAGGTGCTTTTGCTGCCCGCCCGACGTGATCGCTGCGTGCACGATGCCCTGTACGACGGGGTTGATACCGCCGCTGCTGTCGAGCTGCCCAGACGCGATGAGCGGCGTGAGGAGCTTGGTCGACGCTTGGATCCACCCGAGGCGGAGCGCTGGCGCCAGGATCTTGGAGAACGACCCGAGCGCAAACACTGTGCCGTACTTGTCAAAGGTAAACATGGGCGGCGGCGGCGTAATGTGCGGGAACGAGAGCAGCTGGTAGACCTCGTCGGCGATGATCATAAAGCCGTACTCGTGGCTGAGCTCGACGAGTCGCGCGCGCTTGGCGACGCTCATGGTGCGGCCCGTCGGGTTGTGGCACGTCGGGATCGTGTAGAGCGCCTTCGGCACGACACCCGACTTGAGAAGCGCCTCGAGCTTGTCGATGTTGAGGCCGTCTTCCTCCATTTCGATCTGGCGAACGTTCATCTTGAAGTCCTTCATGATGCTCAGCGCCAAAAAGTACGATGGCTCCTCGAGGAAGACGAGGTCGCCCGACTTGAGGTAGATGGAGCAGAGGAGCGCAAGGCCGCCCGTGACACCGTTCGTGATGAAGAGCTGCTCCGGGTCGACAGGCGCCTGGTACCCTTTTGAGAGAAAGGTCGCAAGCGACGAGCGGAACTTGGGGTAGCCCTTGATGTGGCCGTACTGGAGGAACATCGGGTCCGTCTCGGTGAACTTGGCGGCCGCGCTCTCGCGGATGAGCTGCAGCGGCAGCATCGTCTCGGCGGGCTGGCCCACCTTGAAGTTGATCATGACGTCCGCCGTCGGGACAATGTATTGGCCGTAGTCGCCCATGTTGTAAGATTTCGAAAATGCAAACTGGGAACCGTCCGACGCTTGGATCGCGACATGTTGAAGATTGTATGGTATACAAACACTAAGATAATGGAAACAGCCTCGCGATTGGCCGGTACGTGGCACGACCACAGGATTCTTCCCGTGACCGTGTGGCGACCTCGCACGTGCTTGTGCAATCGGTGCGTCGTTGAAGTCGTCACATGGATACCTACCGCTGATCACATACGACTTCGGACAAGTTAGCTCGGAACACTAGTACTACGGCGCGATAAGCGAGCAGCAACAATAATCTCACAAGGCGCTCGCATTGGACACGTGCACGAGGCGAGAGGCAGATTCAAGCACTTGGGCTTCACAGGGCATCCAATAGCTTCGTTCCTGTCAGTAGGAACGTTCGTGGAATCGTATTTATTGTTATTGAAGTCGTTGGGAACACGGTTGACTCGGATGGAGCAGGCAAATTAGGTGTACTCGTTGTTGAACACGGGGAACCCGCCGTTGGAATTGCATGTGCCGCGAACAGCGGACCACAGGAGGACATCTACCGCAATCGGAGCCAATCATCGATCGCCACGTCATGACGGGCGCTCCGTCGCACGCGTGCCTCTGTCAAGAACACGCTACCAAGTGAAACCGCATTGCCGCTCGAGCATTATTCGCCATTGTGCAAACCACATTTCTGAGGCTTGTATTTCTGAGTGAGGACAAGTTGGACAAAACGACAGATAGATGGGTAGATAGAGATGACTATGTTTTTGTTGTCAATGAGCATGTTTATACAATACGGATCGGCTACAACAACGACGCTAGATTCCGCGCGCCGGCCACTTCCCGCGCAGACGCGTAGCACACGCGCAGTCCGTCAATTTGGCTCGGAGTCCAATCGGCCACGACAAGTGCTGGTGGTGTCACAATGACGTAGACGTGGTCAAAGCCGGCGAGGTGCGGGTTGCTCGAAAGGACTTCGTGGACCTCGTGGATCGCGTCCCACGGCAGCTGACGCACTGGCGTGACCGACATTTGCAAGTAGTGGACGCACTTGTCTTGCACGCAAATGGCATCAATACCGGGCAACAGCACGTAATAGTTGGGCGCCCAGTACGTCTTGTCGATCCATCCCGTCCCAAGGCAGCTCATGTAGTCGACCTTGGACGCATTGGCCAATGCGGCTTCAAACCGCGCAGTGACAACCAGAGGCGTCGCTTCGCCCGAGAGCTCGAGCTGAAGAACGCCGTCAAATGCGAGCTTGTGAATCATCGCTTTGTAGAGCGACTTGTAGAGCGCCGTGTACGTCGTCGTCTCGACCCATTGGAGCGCGTCTGCAACGGCCCAAATACGCTCCATGGCGAGCCAGTGCCGCTGGGCAGGGCCGGTGTCCAGCACGCATCGGCCTTGATAGAGGTAGCACGCGTAGTGACCAATGTCTTGAATGTACATGCGTCGAATCTCGTCTTCGTCGGCGAGTGCACTCGGGCTCAAATCCTGGCTTCTGGGCGACAAAAGGAACGAGCGCAAACTGCCACCAGAGAACGCGTAGCGCTCCTCAACAGTGCTCAAGGCCCCCTCGTAGATGGCACACACATCACAAAGAGCGTCTTTGGACCATGCAGGGAGCGTCAGTGGCACACGCTTGCCGTCGTCCTTGATGCGGTATTGCGCCGATGCCGAGAGGATATTACTCGAGGCCACGGCTTTGGTGAGCGCATCCTGGCTCTGGAAGCGCGACTCAAGATAGCCGTCGGCGACGACGAGGAGCGTTCGTCCTTTGGCGTGGGTCTCGGACTTGAACGCGTCGAAGAGATCGCAAAAGTCTTTTCCGTTGAAGCCGGGGTACTTGGTCACGTGCCCACCGCGAAAACAAAAGACAGCGTCGCCCAGCGCAGCGCCATCCGGGGTGTCCAAATCGACGTCCTTGACACTGCGCACGAGTAGAATGTTGACGTCGTGGTACACGCCGAGGTAGGCGCAAAAGAGGATGAGAAGCACCGACTTGCCAATGCCTGGCGACCCCGTGAGGAGCAGCGGCAGCCGCAATGCGCCGGGGCTCGAATCGGGCGGGGCAGAGACTTCTTCGATGTGGCATGGACGAAGTCGGGCTTGGAGCGCAGCAAGCACAGCGCTGTCGTCGGCATCAGGCAGCGTAAAGTTGACGCGCAAAAGGTCCCAGGCCATCTTCATCTCCTTGCGGACGTGGACACGCAACGGAAAGCCGCCATAGTTTGCAAAGAGCTTGTTGAGCGTGGTCGTTGACAGCTGAGCTCCGACGTAAATGGTCTTGAGGTCGGGCACGTCGGCTGTTGTCAGTGTGCCACCGTCTTTGGAACGGATCCAACGCGCCACTTCCTGACCCTTTGGACGCTTTGACGGGCGACCTACAAACGTGGTATGGACAGCCGCTGCAACGAGAAAGAGTACCGTGTTCCGTCGCGTCGTCTGGCTCGCGTGGGCGTGTGACTGCGACAGGTCGTTGCAGTGCTCTCGTGTCTTCTCGTCCCAACTGTCGGTACGTCGCATGCGCAACGTCGAGGATATGGTCGACCGAGACTTCGCATTGCGTCCCATCGTGGAAGTCGCACGGAAGAAGCATGTTGCTCGGCGGCGGCAGCCGAGGCAAGCACGACAGCTCAAGAGCCGCGTAGTCGAGCGCTGCGTGACAGTCGCTGGCGAGAAAGTGGCCAACGATCGCCGCTGTTGCCGTCTCGACTGTCGTTACGGGGTGTGATGCCAGCGGCAGCCCTTCAAATGGCCGCAACGCGTAGCCGGCGAGGGTCAGCACGAGCAACGTCGGGTCGTTCAA